TTATTATTATTATTATTATTATTATTATTATTATTATTATTACTATTTTCAGCTCCATTTCCATTTTCGATTAAATTACAAATTCCTGTGAAAAAATATCATCATTTTTACTTGTGTTTCGGTTTTCAGTAACTCTTAATGTTACTTTTTTCATCCTAAAATGATATTTACTTTTAGAATGTATATTTTCATAAATTAATTTTATGTCTCTGATAATTGTATGCTGGAATCGTACGGAATTTCTCTATATTATAATATTAATTTTATTTTGCATGAAAATTCAACAATGCTACATTTTATTGCTCCTTTACTTTGCTGCTTTTCAATTGTTACTAATAAGCAATTTTATATTAATTACAAAGATTGTTTTGCAATCACATAGCAATGATTGCAATAAATTGTATAAAAACATCAGAAGCAATATTTTTTATCTAGTTTTTATTTCTATAAAAACTATAATGTTTGTGATAAAGATGTCAAACTAATATCAGGAACTAAAAAATCATGCGATTACTTTAATCTGCAATAATTCATGAGAATGTTTACTACGCAGTATTTTTCAAGCTAAGCTATGATGATTTTTTATCTGTGATGATGAATTACAGTATTTAAATTTTAAAAATTCGCCTTACAGTATAAATGAATTGTAAAAATTTGTAATGTGCTTAATAAGCTAATTTGATCAAATGATTTAAATGAAACAAAATTCGATGTTATCAATATCATTTGCAGTTTGATAAGCTGCGGTCTATTTTTTTTTTGCCTTATCAAAAATGGAAATTTTTGAGCGTAACAGAATATTAGCTATAAATAGGAGTAAAATTTAGTTTGTCAAGGGAAAAAAAAGTAATGAAAGACTTTATTTTATTGACATTTCTCGTAAGTCGTTTGATATTGCTAATACTAACACTTTTACTCTTTATCACCATTATATTTCTTCTGCTTATCTGAGATATAATAAATTAAATCTATTAACTATCTAAAAGTATCAAATTTGATTATTAAAATTAATTTGAATTTATTATCAATTCTGCACTTTCAGCTATCTCAATTGAATGTTTTCTTTCCGTAATAAATATCCAAAATACTGATGAAAAAAATTTGAAATTATTTGTAAACGAGTGGATGAATGGAATAAATGGATATATCAGTTCTTTTGCAAAATAATCATTAACACAAAATAAATTTAAAATTTTTTACATCTTGAAAAAATGAGATTAAAAATTGAAATAATGAAATAATAGCAATACAGTAATCTTGATAAAACATTTGCATAATTAATGATTGTTTGCATCATCTCAGCAACCAATCCTTTTTAATATACTGCTGGGTTAATTTTATTTACCTTTTTGAAGGTACGATATTTTCTTTGTATTATTGTATTTCAGTTTAAGTAAGCTTTATGCAGTCATTATTTTAAATTTTTTAGCACTATACTTATTTAATAGTATGATTTATTTTGTTATTTTACTTGTAAACACATTTGTCTTGTTTAATTTGTCAAATTTATTATATAATACAATTGGATAATCAAATTTTTAAGACAAATAAAATTATACTAAAACGTACAGTTTACATAAACTTAAAAACAGTTAAAATATATAAATTGTAGTAAATAATAAATAAAATTATCAGAAATCGAACTTTCTCATAATTTAAAAACTATGCTTTTTTTTAAAAAAAAAATTTTATTTTAATTTTGATAGCATTTAAAAATTGAGCAATATTTTCAAAAATCTTTAACTATATTTAAATATGAAATAATTTGAAATGAATCAATTCTGCTTTTTCTTTTTGGCAAAAAAATATAGCAATGAACTCAGTTAAATCTTTTTTTTTTTGCTCAAAAACGTTTTGAATTTAAATGTAAAAAGTTTTTTTTTCTTCTTTTATTTTTAATAAAAAGAGTTTAGCTAGCATTTTTTATTTGGAAATTATCGTATTTTATGCACTTATATAAATAAGAAAATATAAGTATGAGAATACGTCTTACTTATTTATTGACTAGATAAGTTGAAGTTAGTTTTATAATGTAAGCAGTAAAGAGTGAATGATGTTGTAGATATATCGTTTTATGAATAAATTTTACATGAAAAGGGTTTTCTACTTAAATAAGCACTTAAGCAAAGCTTTTTTGCGTTACTTCATAAAAAATTTATAAATGTTTCAAAAAAAAGTATTAATAATAAAGATAAAAAAATGTGAGTTGATAATCAATTCAAAAGAAGCAAAAATAAATTAGCATTTCTTAAATAAAAAATGCTAATTTGTTTTTGTAAATTATCACATATTGTTATATTAGTAGTTAAATTTTAAAATTCTATTTTCAATTTAATTTAAAATTTTATTGAAAAGTTTTTTTGGCATCTGACAAATTAAGTATTCATAAATATATTTTTTTTAGTTAAGCAAATACTTTCATTAAAAGTATTTTGAAAAAATTTTATTAGTTATTTACAGATTAAAATAAAGAGTGTTATATCAGTTGTATACAAATAATAAATAGATCAAAATAAAATAAATGTATTGGTTTTTAGGTGATATTTTTAGATGGTTATTAGAATAAATAATTTTAATTTTCATTATTAGATTGAGTATTTAATTAACTTTCGATGAAACAATATTTTATTTTACTTTAATTACCGAAATTTATGGCCAGTAATTAACTTTTTTGCAAACATCTTAAGACAAAAATCTTGATAAGATTGATTTAATTATATGCTTCGATCACTTTCGCTTATTTATCATAATTAATATGCAGTTGGTTGCTTATTCAAAATTAGTACTAAAATACTGAAAAAAAAGAAAATCACAGTATAGAATTTACCGGAAAACATTTAGTATATTATTGATTTATGCTAATTTTCTGACTAAGATCAAAGACTTTGTATATGAAGTTATTTTTCTACAATGTTTTACAAAATTAACTAACTTCTTCAAAATTCTTGCCAATTTTTTATGTCATTACAATAATTGGAATTAAATTAATTACTCCAAATATGTATGCTTTTAACATTTAATTAAGGTATATAATTTATTTTTGGTATGAAATGAAATTATTGAAAGTTTTTGATGAATTGAAGAGCACAAAATGAAATATCTCCTCGGGAAGCCAAAATGTTTGTTAAAGTAAGCAAAATTTTTGCAATATAATTTTAAAATGCTAATCATTTGGAAAGCAATAGCAACTCTTCATGATACTTTCAATCATTCTACAGCACTTTTATTTCTACTCATATTAGCATTAACTGTCAATGATGCTTTTTCTTCAGTCATCAAGCAAAAACGAAAGCCTTGGTGAGGATTAATTTGCACAGAATTTTTTGATTAATTTTTAATTTGTGCTTACTATAAATCTTTTTTATTTGCTTAAAAGTTTCAAGTAAATAATTCATATTTTGTATTGTATTAAATAAATAAATACTTTATTTTTCGAATTATTGCTCTATTTACTTCACATAATAAATAACTTTAATTCATTCATTAAATAAATTAACATTTTTTTGCAAAATTATAGTAAACGAACAGCTTTCAATAGACGTACTACAAATTATCGTTCTTGGAGAGAACAAATGACCGTTTGTGAATTGCTTGATAATTATGATCCTACTGTACGTCCATCTGGAAAAATGTCCACATATGATCAAAGTGAAGCAATAATTTTATTGCATGTTTTAATCTATTTTACTGCATGTTTTGATTTTTTTTTTTTAAATTCAAAATTGAATGAGAATTGAGATAAAGTTTAGGAGGACCCGTAATTGTGTGGACAAGCTTAGAAATTCGGTCTATCAGTGCAATAAGTGAACGAAATATGGTAAATTTGCATTTTCAAGTTTCCTTATTCGCTTTTCGTTTCAAATTTATTTTAAATATATTTTAATATTTAAAAAATGCATACATTTAAAGCTTCAAAGTTCTGACATAAAAGGATTAACTTGATTTGAAAAATATTGTGCTAAGGATTATAATCACATTGCGTATCTATCTCATTAGTATTATATTTTATTAAGTAATATTGCTTAGGATAAATTTCCTTTTTTATATAGCTGAATGTAATTTAAATTTTAAAGTCTTTAAAATGAAATCAAGAATTGAAAAAATATCGCATGGAAAGTTATCCTATAAAGTTATATCGGATGCGAAAATCTGAGAAAGTTTGTTTGTAGAAGGATTAATTTCAAAAATAAAAAACGTTTCATGAAAACTTAATATTAAAAAAGAATCAATTTATTGCAAGAACTGGCACAAACTTTGTAAATGCATAAACTTAAATAAAATTAAAAGTTACTTGTAATTTTATATTAATTTATGCTTAAGAAATTATGAACGAGACAAAAATTTTAAGTCAAAAACAATTTTTAATATCTACGTTAGGAATTTGTTGCACAATTTCGTTTTCAACAAGAATGGTTTGATGATCGGTTACGATTTACTGATTATAGCGATTTTCGTAGTTTTGATTTTATTCATGTTGCTCGAGATCAAGTGCTTTGGATTCCCGATACATTTTTTCAAAATGAACGAAACGGATGGTATCACATGCTGGACCAGGTAAATTTAATTTTCATGGTTTAATTTTCTTTTTCAGTTTACATTTTAGTTTACATTCATTTTAATTTTCAATGAATAAAATAATCCTTCTAAAATAAAACTTTTCACTTCTTTGATATCACCTTTGGTATTACTTCTGACCTTTGACATTATTTTTTATTTCATTAAATAAATCAATGATTTTAATAGTTTTTTTTAGGAAAACAAGTTTATCAAATTGCGATCTGATGGAAAAGTTATTTATAACAGAAGGTTAATTTTATTTGTACTACTTGAATAAAAAGTTTAGAATCTTCAAAAATTTGCTTTTTCTAAAGCAAGATAGATAATTTGTTTTTGCTTTTTTGCACATAAAAATTACAGATTGACGTTAATACTATCATGTCAAATGAATTTAGTACGATATCCGATGGATGTTCAAGAATGCCTTATCGATTTCGCCAGTTGTAAATAGTTTTATTAACAGCATTTTGAGATAGTTTTAGCTAAAATTTAGTTTTAAATTTTATTATGATTTCATTCTTTGTTATTTTTTCCATTTATTATTTACTATTTTGAATTACAATAAGTAATTAACATATCTTGCATTAATAATTATACAATGATTATAATTCTCAAAATATATTATCAGACGCTTACACTACAAGTGATATTATTTATAAATGGGATCATTCTGCTATAACAATTGATAAAGCTGCCAGTAATGCACTGCCAAATTTTCGAATTGATGCTTTCAAAAATAAATCTTGCGATAGTGTTACGAATACAGGTTTTTGCAAATATTTTTTACTTATTTACTTAAAGTAAATTTAAATTTTATGCTTTGAAAAGTAAAAGTATTACTTATTTCATGAAATATATTCAAATAGCCATTAAAGCATCAAAAGAATGCACTATTCTATACAAACTTACAGTTTGTTAAATTTTTTAATTGAAAGATTTCATTACTTTTTAATATTTTTCATTTTTTTCGAAACAAAAATTTTTTATTTGCTTTCTTAAGAAGTCAATTAAAAGTAGCCATATTTTGGCTTTCTCTCATTAAATAAAATTATTCAAATTATGGCAACTTTTAGTGCATTAATTTATGCAGTTTAAATTTTAATACATTGTGTAGTACTTTAAGGAATATATAGTTGTCTTCGTGTAGAATTGAAGCTAAGTCGAGTTTTTTCATTTTTTCTTCTCCAACTTTATATTCCTTCTACGATGCTAGTCGGTGTTTCGTGGGTATCTTACTGGATTGACTGGAAAAGTACCGCCGCACGTGTGCCTCTTGCCATTGTTACGCTGCTCACTATGATCACGCAATCTCATGGTTATTTTACTTTACTTTACTTTTGCTTCTTTTTTTAAATCTTAATTTTATCCTTTATTTCAAAGTAGTCATTCACTGATAATAGCATTTATTATCATTACTTTTGACTTCAATTTCAAACATTGGTCGTATTATTTGCATATAAAAATTTGCTAGCTAAATTTTGATCATGTTATGTTAAGCAATGTTTTTAATATTTGTTAATATTGAGTACTATTATCAAAAATTTGATGAATATATTGACATAAAAAATGCATGTTTTGCATAAAGAATTTGAATTTTTTTTTCTCATATTTCATTCCTATTTGCTACAGTCATTCCAAAATACTTCGATTATTTTGTAAAACAACTATAATAATCACTAAAATTATCATTATTTCACAAAAATGGAAGCTCAAAATGACTGTCTGTACAGCCAAAAAATGGACAGAGTAATAAATAATAATAATATCAAAGTATTCATTCTTATTGCTGCAAAATTGTCATTACAAAGTATTGCGAATATACTGCTTTTTTAATTTTTTTATTGTAATGTTCATTTTTCACGTGAAAAGTAGAATAACTAGTAATATATAAAACACAAAGTTTTTAAAGTATTAGCTCAAAATAATTCATCTCAATTTTAGGAACAACGTTTTATTTTACAGTAACCCTAGCAAAAATTTTAATTGTTTTATACATTTTAAAAATAATCCAAGATGTGTCCTACAGTAATTTTGTTTTTGTGCATCAATAAGTGCACAGTTTATACTTTTGTAAATGATGTATATACTTTTCAAAATAGATCGAAAGTTCGTCTTGAAATATATTTATGGAAGCAATAAACAAGTTGATTTATGCTAAAAATAAATATTGTATAAATCAGAAGAGCAAAGCAATCGCTTATCTAGTCTTGAATCTTGTTAAAAGCCCAGATTAAGCTTTATACCTAAATCTAGAAGTCTGAAAAATTGCGCAAATAACTTTGTGTTGTATTACTTTCTCTTAATACATCCTAATTTTGAGTATCAAAATAATCGACAAAAAAGTCTTACAGAATTGCTTACGTAATTATTTGATTAAAACTTGACAAGAAATATGAAGTCTAAAATTGATAATTTTTTATTAGCTATTTTTGTGGTCATTTGAAAAACAAGCATTATATTAAATTGTTTTTTCTTTGAAGTGCTTTACTACCTTCGAATGTAATCAGTTACTTTTTGCAGCAATTAATTCAAATTTGCCTCCTGTAAGTTATACAAAAGCTATTGATATATGGATTGGTGCTTGTGTAGGTTGGTTTAATAATATATTTGATTTAAAAAAGTTTTCAATTTTTTTTAAAAGTTCAAGATAAATGTAAGACAACGTTAGTTTTTGTCATAAACTGAATCAAATATAATTAATTGCTGTTAAAATTTTAGTGTTCATATTTGCATCTCTAATCGAATATGCAATTGTAAATTATATGGGCATTCTCGATGAACATCGGTTACAATTTTTCTTATATCATCCTTGATTACTGCTAATTACTGTTAATTACTGTTGATTACTGTTGTTTGCATTTGACTTACTGATTTAAGTCAATATTATTTTTTTGCACATCTTTTCAGGATAACAATTTAGTAGCAAATATATTTTTTATTCATTGAAATTCGTTTAGAAATTTCCTTCGATAGAAAAATTTTATTCATTGTTACTGTAACAAAATAATAAATATCACACATGTCTAAAAGATAATTATAATTTGGAGTTTAAAAAAATGCTTACTTTTAGAAATGCACGGAGAGTAACATCAAATGAAACACGTCTTGCTAATGTGATTGATAACGGTTTTTTGTATAACACTACAGAACGTATTATTACTTCTTCTGCTTCTATATTAAGTATTTCTAAAAATAAGGTTACTTTTATTCATTTTTCAGAAGCTAAAATTATTAACTTTCAATGAAATAAAATTGAGTGAGATTTGAATCATAAAAGTGTTTATGTTCATTTACTGTAACCGAATGATTTTGTTTGGCTTTTTGCAAAAGAGAGCTTTTCTTTTTTAAATTGCTTTGATAGCTGTGCTTAATATTTCAAGAATTTTTTGCGGAGTCGACGAAATCAGTATTTTGATTCATGTGACGAAGAATATGAATTAATGGGTATTAATACACGTCAAATGACGACTGCCTTAGAATCTCAGTGGAGATTTAATGTTCGTTTTATTATAAAATTGTGCTAATTTTGAAAAGTAATAGCAAAAATAATTGAAGAAGAGAATTTTAAACTGCAACAATGATGAAAAGTAAATTAAATAAATATTTTTTTAGGATGTATCAGATTTGGTGTGTAGACGACGAAGAAAACACGTTGAATTAGTGCGTTGGTGTAGTTTGTTATCATCACGTGGACGAGCAGAAAGAATTGATATATTAGCACGGTAATAATTTATTATTTATTAAAAGAGAAATATTTTTCTTTCAAAATAGCGGATGCAATTTTTAGTTGCATTCAGAAGGAAGGCAAAGAAAGCTACAGGTTACAAGACTTATTACTTTCACCAAAAAGTATGTTTTTTCATTTCTTTATTTTCACAGTTGCTTAATGATCTCTAATGTGTATTCATTAGTATTATGCAAAAATGATATAATGATTAATTCGACAATTTGCATTGTCAGTGACTTTTTTCTTTCCACTTTGTTTTACTTTGTGGTTAATGAGCATAATTACTGACCATCCTTATTTACGTAAGTGGCTTTTACTTTGCTTTTTCTTGTCGTATGAAAATAACTAAGGATACTTTTCAACAGAATATTTAATTTCAGGCTGCTCCTTCCAGTATCATTCATTTTGTTTAATTTCGCTTACTGGAGTGTATATTTGGATGAAATTAAAGAATGACAAACATTTTACAAAAACGCATACAATATGTGTGTTATTACTACTATTATTGGTTATAAATAGTGCTATCACACGTGAGATAAAACTTGTAATAACTTTCGTAAATAAACCAACGAGCAGCTGGCTTGATTTTGTTTTCACGTAAAAAATGAAGAAAAACATTAAGAATTAGTTTGCTGGACTTATCATTCTAAGCGTACGTTTAATGTTAAATACAATATTTCTGAACTATTGTCATCTATATTAACGACAGGAATGAAACTTTGTTATATCTTTCATTAATGAATTCACTGCCAACTTTGAGGTCAATTGTTATTTAAATATCAATCATATGAGCTTATCTTTTTATCATAAATTGTAACTTATTCCATTCAAAGTGTAATTTAAGTAGTTTTATTTAAATTCTAGTCTCTGCCAATAGTTCATAAAAAGTCGACAGTCAACAAATGTAATACAGTAATTTCAAATAAGACTAGTATTCAAAATGTGTTATAGCTTTCTACTTGTTTCATGAATGTTACGGTATTAATACTAAAGCAAATATTTTGACAATTCAACTTCAATAGTTAACTTTTACTTGTAAAAATATAATAGTTTTTTTAGTTATATAAAATGAAATGATTAATTAACAGCAAAAGAATGCAGGCAGTTACCAATTTTGGAGCCCATTTTAAAAGATCTACCTCATTTGAATTTTTATTAATTGTCTTTTTTATATTTATTTTGATACAATCATTTTATTTTCTCATTAATTCGAATAATCATTGCATACTACTGTGTAATGTTAGTTATTGTATGAATGCAAAAAAATTCACATCAAAAGCATTTTATTTATCTACTAATGATATATGCTCAACAATGATTGTTATCATTTCACTTTATAATTTATTATCAGTCTTTTTTTTTATGATAGAAAAATGCTATACGATAAATTACAAAAATTTTTCTTGAAAAAGAATCAAAAAATTAATAAATAGCTAATTTGTCATAAAAGAGGAAATATTTTCTGCTCATTTGTCGAATTAAACCAGCTTGTTTGCCAACTACAACTACATTTAACTATTTTTGCAATGAAAAATTGTGTAACAAAATATATCTTTCTTGTAAATTAAAATGACTTATTTACTCATTTACTATACTACTCAAATTTAACAAAATTTTGCTCACGAATCATTTGATAATTTTATAGTAATGATAATCATTAAAAGCCACAAAGTAGTACTTTCTTCTGGTGAACACGTGTTTTGTATTTTTTGTACTTTCAAAATTGTATTTATTATTTGTTCAAAAGTTTATGCTAAACATAAACGTATCAACTTTTTGTACTTTAATATTGCAGCTAGTTTTGATTAAATTGATAAAGTTTGTAATTTATCCTTGATTACCAGAAAAATCTCATACTCATTTTAATATTTCAAAAATTAAAATAAAACTTATAAAGCAGTAAAAATACATATTCAATACTCAAATTCATCATTCATAACAGTATTCCAAAGCAATAAAAAAAAAACTATTTTGTTGCTGCTAAAATAAAATTAAACTGTATAATAAAAATTGTAGAATTAAAAACAATTATATATTGAATTTAAAAGTTTTGTTTTACAATACTGTTGGCAATACTGTAGCGTTAAATGTATATATCTTAAAAATTGTGTAACGAAATCTTTCATTTAAATTATGAGCCATTTGAAAATATTGTTGGGCAAGAAAAGCTAAGAAGATTTTTAAAAATTAAAATTTTGCTTTTATTTTTCTATTAATCCATTGAGTATTTCTGATTTTAGTATTAAATATCACTGTTATGTCTTAAATATTGAGAAAGAAATTTGAGATATTCTACAATCCAAGATACCTTTGTATTAATATATTAGCGATATGAGAACTATAATCATATTTCTATTCACATGAAATGTGAAGACCTGGTACGGACAGGTGCAATAATAATAATTTACAAAACTATCCCATTTTTTTAATTGGAAAAACATGAATCTACGATTTTGAAAACTAACTCAAGTAATTTTCAATTGAATATTCATCATTTGGATGATATTTTCACATAGCAGTACACTTATGTGTGCAAAAAAATATCTGATAAATTGAATAATTTCACACAGATTGACAATATCATCACTTCAGCCATGCTATTAATAAGTATTTAAACTTAAAATATAAATAAATATTAAAAAATAAATTTGCAGATATTTTAATAATAAAACAAACAAAACTTTTCAATACAAAAGATAGTTAAATAGTCAATTGAATTTGATATGCTAATGTATAAAATATATTTTGATAATGTATTTCAATATTTTTTTTGTGAGTAAAAACGTTTTTTGTAAGTTATTAAAAAAATATTTAAATATAAACTTTGTTTCTTAACAACTTGTTAACATTTAAATATAAAAGTTGTTTTTTAATAACTTTATTGTTAATAAGTATTCTTAAATAAATTTGACTATGATATTCTACTTTAAAGTAGATATATAAAAAAGAGCATTGTACAACTTCTTTTATTTTCTAAGAATAGACAAATATAGAAGCAAATAATACAAGTAATTTTTCATTTATTTTGCTAACATAAGTTTGCTATAAAGAAAATTAAATGCAAGAAAATTAATTAATTAGTTAAATAATTTGCATAAAGTGAAGCGAAATAATTCAACTAAATATTTAATTGAATATAGTAATATGGTCAAAAAGAGTAATATGGTCAAAAGAGAAGAAATTTTTTTAAATTAAAATACATTTTGCTCTTATTTATTTTTATGTATCAAAACTTGTTGATTATGTAATATATTAAATAATGATAAAATTAATTTAAATATTTGAAAATAAAATATTTATTTTTGCAAAAGCATTTTTTGCGCTCTTTTATATTGCATGCATTTTTAACAAATTTTTTTTCTGATACATTTTGCTGTAATGCTAACATAGTCTAATAATTTGCTAATTTTGCTCATTTTTGAACAGTTTAGTGAAATTATATTTAAAAAAAAAGTTTTTATGAACATTTTAAAAATTTGATTTGAAAACATTAATATTATGTAGTAAACTTAATCTCTTTAATTTTTCTCAAGCAAATATTTTAAAAATTTTAATTTTATATAATGCAAAAATTATTAATATTAGATCTAAAAATAAATTTTTATACATGAAATTTTATTTCAGGAAATTCGCAAATTGTGATTTCTTTACAAAGGCTGTTGTTAATTTGTGTAAGTTTAAATTTGAGAAGAATAAAAAAATAAGCATTATTGAAAAAGATATTTAATGAATAATAAATTGCATGATTCGAAAAAAGAATACAATATTGTTCTCAAATTTCTACTTTTTACTCAAACTTAAAAAGTTTGAAAATTAGTTGTACTTTGTTTCAGTTTAAAATTTACAACATTTGATCAATTTACAGCCAATAAATAATAAATTGCGCACTATGATGATGTAAAATACTACCATTACTTTTATTTTATATTTTAGTTTTCAAGTAAAGTAATACATTTGCTACATTTTATCAATAAAAAGGGTGATTTAAGAACAGAAGTGTTCATCTGTTCGTAACTCGTAAATTGAATATTTTTATTAAAATTTCATCGATATTGCAATTATTCATAATCACACTATAAATCCTGACAAAAATAAATATTAAAATGAAATAATGAATAAACTAGAATTCTTGAATACCATGTAGATATAATTATTTTTAAATTCACATTGAAGAGATCATTTTCAAATTTAATCAAGGAATCACTGTATAATTGGCTCAGGAGTCATAACTAATAATAAATATTAAAGATATCTGTTTATTATTATTATTATGATCTTCAATTTTCTGCAATAATAGAAGAAAAATAACAATCTTCGCTATTACAGTTCTTTTTTTTTACAAAAATTTTGCAAGCATAATTGATACCAAATAATTACATTAATTAAAATTTGCTTTGTAACAGATGTAAAAACTGCAACAAATATTTATATAAAAGAAGTATGCAAAAACTTTAAAATATGTAGTAATATAATTGAATTTAAATTTAAATAGCAAATTTAAATTGTACTTATGCGCATATTATATGTGCTCTATTATTTCCAGTGTTTATTACTTTTTGCAAATGTAAAGTAAATAAAATTTTAAAGAATTATGCAATAATTTCGAATATAAAACTAATATGTTTTAGAAATTAAAGTATCAGACATATATTGTCATGTTTGTTTTACTTGCAAACGTTGAAGCTAATTAAAATGAGATTAATTTTGTAAGATCAAAAAATAATTTCAATAAAATTTTATGAAAAGCTTCTAATGGTTGCTCTTCAACAAAATCACTCATATAATTTACAAAAATGTGCTATTTTTTAAAATTTCAAATAATTAATTCGTTTTAAATGACACTATGAAAAAAGATTTGTATATGTTTTCATATTCATTTATGTTATTAAAACTAATTTTTTTTCAATTAACAAATCTCCCATTACTTTTTTCTCCACCACATCATTATATCTTTACAAATTTTAAATTACAAATAGTGTTTGAATTTTTTCGTTTGACA